CAGTTTAGCAACATCAGCCTTTCAGCCAACACGGTGGCAGAGTGCATTTCTGACCCGTCAGGTAACATATATACGATCAACTGCGTGAGAAAGCCAACACATTTCCGTGCATGCTCGGTCGCTCTTGATGAGAGCGCAGACATCACTGACACTGCGCAGCTCTCAATGTACGTCCGTGGTGTTGACGACACTTTTGAAGTGACGGAGGAGTTGCTCACAGTGAATCCAGTGCATGGCCAGACCACCGTCCAGGAGATATTCTGCCAGCTGTGTGATGCCGTTGTGGATGCCGGTTTACCATGGAAGAGGTTTGCTGGAATAACAACCGGTGGAGCGCCATCGATGACAGGGAGGAGAAATGGACTGGTGGCACTTGTTCAAAGAAAACTGGAAGAGGAGGGTGTGGAGGAGGCCATTGCTCTGCACTGCATTATCCATCAGCAGGCCCTTTGCAGCAAATGGCTGAAGTTTGACAATGTGATGTCTGTCGTTGTGAAATGCATCAACAATATCAGATCCAGCGGCTTAAAGCACCGGCAGTTCCGCGCCTTTTTAGAGGAAATAGAGTCGGCATATGAGGATGTGCTCTACTTCACCGAGGTACGTTGGGTCAGCAGGGGAAACGTCTTGAAGAGGTTTTTTTGAGTTGAGAGCAGAAGTGAAAGCCTTCATGGAGAAGGATGGGATGGCTGTTCCTGTGCTAAGTGATCCCAAATGGCTCATGGACTTAGCTTTTCTTGTTGACATCACACAGGATCTGAATGTACTGAACAAGAAGTTACAAGGCCAGGGGCAGCTTGTCAGTGCTGCCTATGACAAAGTCAGAGCATTCTCCACAAAACTTGTGTTATGGATAGCCCAGCTGTCTCAGACTAACCTCTGCCATTGCCCAGCATGCAAGGCACTCATGGACGCGGGCACACCATTCAGTGGTGAGAAGTATGCTGATGCCATTGTAAAGCTACAGGAGGAATTTGATCACAGGTGTTTGCAGACTTCAAGACACACAGAGCCACTTTTCAAGTTTTTGCTGACCCCTTCTCCTTCGATGTGCAAGATGCCCCTCCTGTGCTTCAAATGGAGCTAATTGACCTGCAGTGCAATTCTGAACTCAAAGCCAAGTTCAGGGAGGTGAGTGCAAAAGCAGACAAGCTTGGACAAGTTTTGAGAGAATTGCCCCCCACCTTCCCTGAGCTTTTTTCCAGGATGTTCAAGCGGACCATGTGCCTATTTTGGGAGCACATATATGTGTGAAAAGCTCTTCTGCACCATGAACTTTAATAAGTCAAAGTACAGCTCCAAACTTACTGATGATGAGCATCTTCAAGCCATACTGAGGGTCTCAATTGCTTCCTCCCTCAAGCCAAATGTGGCTCAGCTGTGTAAGAAGAGGAAGCGCTGCCAGGTCTCTGGCAGCAAGGAGTAGGTGAGAGAAGCCGATGTTCTGAAGAACCGTTCATGTTCTGAACTGTTATTAATGAAGATTGAGAAGATTGGATCAGTTGTACTTTTTTTTTGAATACTTGATGCGGCCCAGCCTCACCCAGACTCTACCTCCAGCGGCCCCCAGGTAAGTTGAGTTTGAGACCCCTGCTTTAGGACATCTAAACAGTGGACCAGTGAGGCTGTGGAAGATTTGCGGGCGTGCTTAGACTGTACTGACTGGGATATGTTCACGACTGCTACCAATAGTCTGGATGAACTCACAGAGGCTGTGACGTCCTACATCAGCTTCTGTGAGGACTGCTGTATCCCAACACGTACCAGTGTGAACTTTAACAACAATAAGCCCTGGTTCTCAGCAAAGCTCAGAAGGTTGAGGTTGGAGAAGGAGGAAGCGTTTAGGAGTGGAGATAGAGACAGATTCAAGGAGTCGAAGAACAGGTTTAGCAAAGCCGTGAGAGAGGCTAAACGACTGTACTCAGAGAGACTAAAACACCAGTTCTCTACAAACGACGCTGCTTCTGTCTGGAGAGGGCTCAGGCAGATCACCAACTACAAACCCAGAGCCCCCCACACCACTAACGACTCCCGCCTAGCCAAAGACCTGAACGAGTTCTACTGTAGATTTGAAAGACAATTGGACTGTCCTGAACCACCCCTTCCAACCGCAGAGGCCCCATCCCCCACCAATACTACAGAGACGACTATCTCCTTTCAGGAGGGAGAAGTTAATAGACTTTTCAAGAGGCAGAATCCACGCAAAGCAGCCGGGCCGGACTCTGTCTCTCCAGCCACCCTCAGGCACTGCGCTGACCAGCTGTCTCCGGTGTTCACCAACATCTTTAACACCTCCCTGGAGACATGCCATGTACCAGCCTGTCTCAAGTCCTCCACCATCATCCCTGTGCCCAAAAAGCTAAGGCCAACAGGACTAAATGATTACAGACCGGTCGCCCTTACATCTGTGGTAATGAAGTCTTTTGAGCGCCTGGTCCTGGCACACCTCAAAGCCATCACAGACCCTCTCCTGGACCCCCTTCAGTTTGCCTACAGAGCCAACAGGTCTGTGGACGATGCAGTTAACATGGCCCTCCACTTCACCCTACAGCATCTGGACGCCCCAGCATCCTACGCCAGGATCCTGTTTGTGGACTTCAGCTCTGCCTTCAACACCATCATCCCTGCCCTGCTTCAGGACAAGCTCTTCCAGCTGAACGTGCCATACACCACCTGTAAATGGATCACAGACTTCCTGTCTGATAGGAAGCAGTGCGTTAAGCTGGGAACACAAGTCTCTGGCTCCAGGTCCATCAGCACCGGAACTCCTCAGGGCTGCGTCCTTTCCCCTCTGCTCTTCTCCCTGTATACCAACAGCTGCACCTCCAATCATCTGTCCGTCAAACTATTGAAGTTTGCGGATGACACCACCCTCATTGGGCTGATCTCTGGTGGGGATGAGTCTGACTATAGGTGGGAAGCTGACAATCTGGTGACCTGGTGTAGCCAGAACAACTTAGAGCTAAATGCTCTAAAGACAGTTGAGATGGTTGTGGACTTCAGGAAGAATACAGCACCACTCACCCCCATCACCCTGTTAGACTCCCCAGTAAAAATTGTAGAGTCCTTCCGCTTCCTGGGCACTATTCTCTCCCGGGACCTCAAGTGGGAATTGAACATCAGCTCCCTCACCAAGAAAGCTCAACAGAGGATGTACTTTCTACGGCAGCTGAAGAAATTCAACCTGCCAAAGACAATGATGGTGCAATTCTATACAGCGATCATTGAATCCATCCTCACCTCCTCCATAACCGTCTGGTACGCTGCTGCCACTGCCAAGGACAAGAGCAGACTGCAGCGTATCATCCACACTGCTGAGAAGGTAATTGCCTGCAATCTACCGACCCTCGAGGACCTGCACACGACAAGGTCTATGAGGCGAGCGAGGAAGATTATGGCCGATTTCTCCCACCCTGGACACTCTCTGTTTCAGCTACTCCCCTCCGGCAGAAGGCTTCGGTCCATCAGGACCAAAACCTCACGCCATAAAAACAGTTTCTTCCCATCTGCTGCTGGCCTGTTAAACAAGGCCAAGGGCTAACACTGTTTTTAACATTTGATCTACATAACGACACGTTGCTGATATTAACTATGTTTCCCTATTTGTATTTTTTAATTATATCTTAAAGCTATTTTATATTCGATATTTATTTAATTTTATATATATATATATATACTTCAGCCCCTTAGTGTTAGACTTTTAACCCTTATTATAGTAAGACTTGTTTAAAACTTATTTAAGATTTTAGATTCCTATATGTTGAATGTATGCACCATCCTGCCAAAGTAAATTCCGTGTCGGTGTGAACTTACATGGCGAATAAAACCCCTTTCTCTAATAGGTGCTCGCTTGCAGTGTGTGGAGACCAGAGGTGGTGGCGTTGAGGCTCCGCGTGCAGCATCATCATCATCAGCGTCATCACCACCAACAACAACAATAACCACCATATGCCACTAAGTGGTGGTGACATCACCAAGGAGCTTGTGCCCAGCCATGTGCACCTTGAGGCCACGTAAAGTGTCGAACGCCCGCTGACAGGAGGTCACGGGACAAACCCAGGTGCCATGGGTTGACTGTTGTGCCAGGCTAGGTGCAGGAGGTCACGGGACAGACCCAGGTGCCATTGGTTGATTGAGATGACTGGTCGATGCACCACCTGTGCCACTTACTGTGCCAACTTGCTGTATTTTAGCTGCCCAGTGCTCCGATCGTTGTTGTGAGCAGCGTCACTCTGCCCTCCGTTACTGGAGGGCGACTGCCTACAACTGCCCGGTAGCATCTTTCACGAGCCTCCTTCACAGAGGCCGATCTTGACACCGCTGGTACCAATCTTGCTGTGCTTCCACACAGCATTGTACAGCCGATGTAAAGTTAAATGCCACCCGACTGATTCTGAGCTGGTCATAAGCACACTGCCAGGTTTGGGAAACCACTCTCTCCACAACTGCTCCATCACCAATGGGGAGCTGAGGGGGTGGAGTGTTTGGTCGCACAAATTACCCAGGCAGGTGCTTAGTTTTGGTGGGGCTGATGGTAAGACCCCACCTCTTAGTGGCACACTCCAGGTTCAGCAGCAGCACCTCCCAACTCCCCCTCTGAGTGAGCAGCAATCACCAGATCATCGGCATACATAACATGGTTGACCAATAGGGAGCCATCCCTCGACCTCACCTGGGCATCGATCAGCCTCCCGTTGTATCTGTACCAGATCGAAATTCCCCTGGTACATCCATGGCAAAACCATCATGACCTTCAACACCACCATCATCACCACCATTACCACCATCATCACCACCCTCCGATTAGCATGGTGCAAAAGAAGTTCAACATACGTACATCACCATCATTAAAACCATCATGACCGCCATCACCACCCTCCGTTTAGCACGGTGCGAAAGAAGTTCAACATACGTGCGTCACCATTACCAACATCATTATCACGACCACCACCTCATCCTCCCCCCACCCCCCTTTCTGCGCACCGCCTCCCCCACCACAGGTTCAGCCTCTACCATCACCCAGCCCGGCGCCGGTGTCGAACCCAGGCCAAGAGCTCTGAGGCAGAGAACAGCGCGGGCTCGGCGATAGCACGGCCGGGCGGTGCGGACGCCCACGGCACCTACGGAGACTTTGTCATCGGTTCGAGTGTGGGTGGGTGGAGAGATGTTATCTCCCTCGTCTGCTACACAGGAGGTCGTGGGTTCAACCCCGGACGCTGACAACGCCTGCCACTGTATATTTGGAATTGCATGTCTCTCTCTCTCATCATCATCATCATCACGATAGCAAGGTAGATGTTAACTACCTCGCCTGGTACACAGGAGGTCGTGGGTTCGATCCCGGACGCTGACGACGCCTGCCGACGTATATTTGGATCCCTGCGGTCTCTCTTTCCACCATTGCCGCAGGGATATTTCTCCCCGAGTTTTTCCCTCCGCATTAAAAATTGACGTCACACGTTCTGAGAGTAATTGGCTGCCGCGTGCACATTTCCAATTGATGATGAGCCACTTTGTTTGTTGAGCTGTCATCTGTGTGATGGCCAGGTCGCTTCTGAAAAAAAAGAGCTACGTAGCTCAGTGGGGCCTTACCTGGTCAGATAAAAAATAGCTATGCCGAGCGGTGGCGCAGTGGTTAGCGCCATGCTGCGCTCCGAACCCGGCAGAGACCAGGGTTTGATTCCCGCTCACAGCCACCAACACCAGTAAGCGACGATTATCTCAACTGGCCCTCCCCGAGGTCGACTCCGGCCTCAATTGTGCCACTGGGGGAGACAAAGGCGGACGGGCGTGGTGTTGGCGACACCAACCTCCTCGTGTGCCACAGCGCCGGCCTTCATAGGTGCTACTGGTCCACGCTGTGGAAACGGCACTTGCCCCAAACAGTCTGTCACAGGCTATACGGGGGGGGGGGGATCTTTGCGTGTGTTAGAAAAGCGGATCCCTGGCTGTAATATTCAAATGCTCTCTGTGTGCCAGGGATTCCTTCCTCGTGTCTCCGACACAATCATTGTGAGAGAGAGAGAGAGAGACACCCAGAGCCAGGGCTTGAACCCTTGCGGTGCTAAGTTAAGGACTTGGCACGGCCAATTACAGTAAAACCTTGGATTGCGAGTAACTTGGTCTGCGAGTGTTTTGCAAGACGAGCAGAATTTTTTTTTTAAATAAATATTAATTTGATAAACGAGCGAGGGTCTTGCAAATACGAGCAGTGTACATGTAGACGCTTTGTCTGCCGAGCATCACGTGATCACAACTGAGATACTAGTGCTTTGATATACGAGTGCTTTGGATTACAAACACGTTTCCGGAATGAATTATGCTCGCAATTCAAGGTTTTACTGTATTGTCTTGCTCTCAATGTTTATTGTACTCAAATCTTTATTTTTGTAATTTGTCTTTTTACCTTATATTTACAAAGTTTTTTGGCGTCTTAATTTGTTTGTACTTCCCTAACAACGTTGTTTTTAAAAAGCTCTTGGTAAAACTACATACTTATACACGTGTGGTTAGCTTTTAATTAATCTATAGTTGTATTACAGAGGAGAAGGACCTATGTGTGTGTGTGTGTGTCTCTGTGTGTGTGTGTGGGGAGCGGTAGTGTTGGAGCCTTACGCTGAGATGCTAGGAACCCGGTAATCCGGGTTCGATTCCCGTTCACGGCCTCTTCAACACCAGGAGTGGCAGCGATTATATGAACCGATCCTGGGCCTCCCCTCATCCTCCCTATATCCCCCATCCCCCCACCTTCTCCCCCCCACATCTTCCTTTTCTCTATGACCTATGCTGAACCTCCCCCCCCATCTCCTCCCCCCACATCCCCCCCCACATCCCCCTTTCTCTATGACCTGTGCTGAACCCCCCCACACACCCCCCCCCAATCTCCCCCCCCCCTCATCCCCCCCTCTCTATGGCCTGTGCTGAACCCCCCATCCTCGTCAATGGGAGCAGTCTGAGTAAGCATGGTGGCTAGGGGCTGCTATAGGTTTGGGATGAACGGGGGTTTTTTTTGTTCGGCCTCCCTCGATACCACCGCCGATTTACATCGTCCCCTTTCCCCTCGGTGAAAAAAATTGATGGAAGGTTTCGTTTTTTTATTTTGTTGTCTCTATGTTGATGATAATCATGGTTTCGATTTAAAGCTTTCGTGACTGCAGGGATTCATCTTCTGGGTTCTTTCGGGTAAAGTCACCACGTAGAATGGGAGATAAGGTTAATAAAAATAATAGAATAAAATTCTCACGACGTTTCGGCCACAACACAAGTAGCCTTCCTCAGGTGAAGAAACGGGACTGTCCGGAAGACAGCGCTTGAGTGAACCCTGCCAAGCTTGGCCGCGTCTTTTAAGCTGTGTGGGAGGAACAGAGCGCCTTGACAAAGGAGTTTACGTATAAATTAGCATGTAACTGGGGGATTAGCATGATGTCATGGTAATCCCCCAGTTACATGCTACTTTATATGTAAACTCCTCTCCCCCCTCCTCCGTTCCGACACCAACATCATGCTAATCCCCCAGTTACATGCTACTTTATATGTAAACTCCTCTCCGACCTCCTCCGTTCCGACACCAACATCATGCTAATCCCCCAGTTACATGCTCATTTATATGTAAACTCCTTTGTCAAGGCGCTCTGTCCCTCCCACACAGCTTAAAAGACGCTGCCAAGCTTGGCAGGGTTCACTCAAGCGCTGTCTTCCGGACACTCCTGTTTCTTCACCTGAGGAAGGCTACTTGTGTTGTGGCTGAAACGTCGTGAGAATTTTATTCTATTTTTTATTATTTTATCTCCATTCTACGTGACTTTACCGAAAGAACCCAGAAGATAATCATGATGATGCTGTTATTGATTCCCCCCCTCCACCGTGTAAGTATCAGTAGAGAGGGGGTGGTTTTATTTTTGGTTTAAATAAATAAGGTCCCGATCCCCTTTTAAGTGTTGCACACTCTCATCTTTTCTATTGCCCCTTACTCAAGGCGCTTTACACATAATTAACAATGAGTAAGTATGGATGTAATAATTGTGGTTAGATGAGGTGAATGAAATAGATGAGAGGAAGCAATGGGTGGCGAATCTGTGGTGGTGGTGGTGGTGGTGATGGTGATGTGTGGATTCGGTGGAAGCGAAATTGATGACAGTAAATGAACACATTCCTGCGGAGGGAGCTGGTAGAAACATTGGGTTGCTCGGTCAATGGCCAGGGTCAACGGCGGCACCACCACGTGGTGTATTCACCACAATATGCCCGACTGTGAGGGCGGGCACAAGCTGGCGTGAGTAGGTTAAACGTTTTATAAGGGCACCACGGGGTGACCAGCCCCACCCCTCCCATTTTTGGATGCACGACGGACGGACGCAATAATCCCCTGTGGGCTGGTGTAGCCAGGAGGTCCCTACCAGTATTAATGGGTTGAATGAATGGGGTTAATGAGTGATAACCATATAATGAGAATTATTATTCTGTCAGTAAATGGTAATTCATTGATTGAATAAAGGGGGTTAATGAATGATAGCCATAATCATGAGAATTATTATTCTGACAGTAAATGATGATGATGATGAAATGGATTGCATGACTGGGAAGTGATGCCGAACTGGCTCGTTGTTTGGGCTCCTTGTTGGAGCCTATAAAGGTATTTGTTATCTGCTTAGGTGGAGATCCCCCCCCCCCCCCCGTCCTGTCCTGTCTGTTTGTTTTCCGTACTAGAGGTTTTTACTGTAGGATTATATATCATCGCGTGAAATATACAATGCTGGAGGCCAATCAGTTTTTCAAAGACGATGCTTTTTATTATCAGAGCATGTTTGTTTGCATTTTCACCACAAGTACTTTGTGTGGTTATCGCAGTACTTGATTCCTTGCCAAAGGTGAATCTATTTGGTGTTTGAACATCTTAACACAACTGCTGTTTTATTGCCAGAAAGGATGAACACGTAATCCTATTTTTAATATTTTTCATAATTTTGATACTGGCAAGAAAGGTATCCCATGATGTAGCTGCTCACGCCAAGCTATAAATTATCCGATGCTTGCATGGTCTTTGAACTGTTCGGCTTTTGACGTTCTCTGATTTGACACTGGTGAGACATTGTAACATTACAATATTCTTTGGGTGTTTCGGCAAATCACGTAGATAGGTCGATGACGATCGCTTGTGTCGTGATCGAAACGTCGTTGTTTTTTGTTTAATTTTTATTAATTTGAACCTATCCACGAGACTTTAGCGAAAGACCCAAAGAATATAAATTCCTTGTGGTCACGAAAGCTTTAAGTCAAGATTTAACAGACCCCTCCCCTGCTTGTGACGTCACCAGAGACCCCTCCCCTGCTTGTGACGTCACCAGAGGCCCCTCCGCTGCTCGTGATGTCACCAGAGACCCCTGTCCTGCTTGTGATGTCACCAGAGTCCCCTCCCCTCGTGACATCACCAGAGACCCCTCCCTGCTCTTGACGTCACCAGAGACCCCTCCCCTGCGCGTGATGTCCCCAGAGACCCCTCCCTCCCCTGCTCGTGACGTCACTAGAGACCCCTGCCTGTGACGTCACCAGAGACCTCCCTGCTCGTGACGTCACCAGAGACCTCCCTGCTCGTGACGTCACCATAGACCCCTCCCCTGCTCGTGACGTCACCAGATACCCCTCCCTGCCCTGCTCGTGACGTCACCATAGACCCCTTCCCTACTCGTGACGTCACCAGAGACCCTGCTCGTGACGTCACCAGAGACCTCCCCTGCTCGTGACGTCACCAGAGACCCCTCCCCCCTGCTCGTGACGTCACCAGAGACCCCTCCCTGCTCGTGACGTCACCAGAGACTCCTCCCCCCCACGCGTGAACGCGTGACGTCACGAGATGAGTCCTTGAACCAATGTAGTGTCGCTCCGGAGACACTTCGTAGGGGTGGCACGTCGTTATTATCCACACGTACCCTAACTACTATACATCAATTCTTCATACAGTTGATCTTGCCACTTGGTATACTATACACCTCCTGTGTAGCGTGCCTAACCCGACTACGCTCCAGGTCCTCCGGCTATAATATAACTACGTGAGACTACCTGACCTGACCCGGCCAAGGTACAGGTCCAACACTGACACCTCACAGAGCTTCGGCCCTTAAAAGGACGGCGAAGCTAGGGGGGGAGGGTTCAGAGTCCTACTCTAGCGGCGTCTTCTTGCTTCAACTGGGCATCTTCAACTGCTTCCGTCTCCAACTGCTTCGGTTTTTAAACTGCCTGGACCTCTCCGGAGGTTCGCCTTGTACCCGTTTCTCAGCCGAGGTGCAGACCTCCGTGAGGGACGTGGGTGACCCCAGAGTCCCCCACTGAGGTCTGCCGTTGCAGGTCAGTGCATCCGCAGCCCCCCCCAGCCGCTGGGAGTGCTTGCGAGGGATTCTACGATCCCTCGCAGCCCCCCCCCCCCCCCCAACTGCTTCAGGGCTGC